CTGAACCATCTGGCCAGTCCTCCTTTTGTCTGAGACTGGGTTTTGCTATGCAGTTCAGGCTAGGCTTGAGCTCACTTTGTGGCCCAGGCTGACCTCAAACTCAAAGTAATCCTTCTGCCTTAGCCTCCCAGCACATTTTTTGGGGGGAATTTTTTTTTTTAAATGCTGGGTGTGGGGATGTACTCCTGCAGTGTCAACCCTGATGGGGCTGAGATAGGAGGATTGCTCCTAAAGGCTAGGCTGGGCTATAGTTCAATGCAAAAGCACTGTATTTAATCCATAGTATTGCAAAGAAAAAGAAAATGATGAGCAAGATGGCTCAAAACAGAGGGCGTACTTAGCCCTAAAAGGTGGTGACCACAGAGCTGAGTGATCTCTTCCAAGTGAGTTCAGCCTGGAAGTCCTCCTCTCCAGCATGGTCTTCTCCCCAGAGTTCAGGTGCTGACCTGAGCTCTCTGTCCATCGCCTCTGAGTGCTCCCAGGGCAACCTCTTATTTCCTAACTCACAGGGCAGGGCCTTCCTCTATTCACTCATTCATGGGACGTAATTAGCCTAGACTTGCCTTGTCTTTCCTGCTTCCCCTTCCTGGATCCTCCACATTCCTGGGGGCCTCTTCTCCAGATCCTCAAAGGGTTTGTGGTGTAACCCAGACTGGCCTAAAACTTGTAGCAGTCTTAATGTCTCAGCCTCCTGAGCACTGGCTTCATAGGCATGTGGTACCAAGCCACAAACTTACTGACTTTAAGTTTGAATTACCCCTGATTTTCAATCCTAATTGAAGAACCGCTGTTTCTTCAGCGCCTACTTCACACTAGGCACACTGCAGTCTGAGTATGTTTCCTGACGAGCCTGCCTAGAATGCTCAAGGCCCTGGGTTTGATCTCCAGCAAAGGGGATAAAATAGAAAAAAGTTTCCTGAAATGCATAAGCTGCTTTTCTACCTAAGATGCAGGCACTTTGTACTTTCCCAAGGTAGTTGCTCCGCCCTCCCTCTGCTCAAACATCCAGCCACCCTGGGTCTGCTCCACATGTGTGCCCTCACATGGAAAGAGCCCCTTCTCCAGCTCTGCTCTTCCCGCTCCAGGACTTCCTGCCCTTGGCTTCAGGAGAGCAAAGACTGCAGGAGTCACTACGGCTCCCTGTCTGCCTTCCTAGCAGCCTTCAGCCTCCTCAGCCTCACCCCACAAAGCCTGGTCTCCCACCTGCATGCTGGCTTCTCCAACACAATCCCAGATGGGAACTCCAGTCCTGGAGAGCGAGTGCTTGCTTCCAATTCACTGGGCTGAGAGGAAGGAGGGGATGGAGGGAAGGAGACAGATGGGCAGGGAGGAGGAAAGAGAAGCAAACGGAAGAAGAGGGCACGAAGGCAGACAGCAACCCTGGTCACTTGTGAAATCTCTTCTCCTTGATTCCAGCCAGCCTGCCGTGTTTCCAGGGGATTGAGAAGGACCTTGTGCGTCTCTTCCACTCCTAGTTATTCAAGTTTTGGGATTTTATTTGTTTTTGAGACAGAGTCTTGCGACATAGTTCAGGCTGGCCTGCACCTCACTAGGTAGCCCAGGCTGGCCTCCAAAGAGGCGATCCTCCTGCCTCAGCCTCCTGTGTAGGGGTTACAGGTGTACACCACCCATGCCTGCCTGTAAAACACTAAATTGTAATTTATAAACATGACCAGGAGAGATGATTCATGATTTTAAATCTCAAAAAGGTAAAATGAAGCTAAGTGAGGTGATGCACACGCCTCTAATCCCTGCTACTTAGGAGGCTAGAGCAAGAGGATCACAAGTTCCAAGTCCGACTGGGAAACTTAGTGAGAACTTGTCTCATTCATTCATCCATGAATAAATAGAACTAGGAAGTGATTGCAGTGGGGTACTTTCCTAGCATACATGTGGCCATTGGGCAGTGGTAGTGAACCAGAGGCACAAAGGCCGTGTTTGAGCCCTCTCTGTCAAACCAAGAACCAGATTGCTCCAACAGTCATGCATCAGATAAGCTACTTTTTTCTAAACTAAATCCTCAGTATTCAAGTGTAACTGCAGTATTGGAACTTCGAGATAAGTAAGTGGTTTTGGGACTGCAGTTTGGCACTCACCTCAAAAAGGTTCGCTGTCACTGTCCCAGGTTCAATCCCCAAGACATCAAAAGAGAAAAAGTAAAAATGACTGATATGAGATTAAGTTTTAAAAGGAACAAGGACTCCAGACACCTAAAGCCAGTAGGTAGAGGCTACTAGGTAATCAAAACAGAAGCAAGGAGGCTAGAGGATTGTATTGGTGGTGATTTTGCTTTTTTTTTTTTTTTTTTTTTGTAATTTTTAGGGAAGGGTCTACAGGGTGTTCAGGGTGTCACTACTAGATCAGACTCATAGTGATCCACCTGTTTATAGTCTCCCAAGAGCTGGGATTACAAGTGCACATTGCTGTGTCAGCGCACCCCAGGGATGGGGTTGACACAGTGTGCTGGGAATCAAACCCATAGCCCTTGAGCCTGCTTGCAGGCACTTTAACCTGCTGAGCTATTTGGCCAGCCGTTGGTAGGGATGTTGTCTTTTTTCTTTTTTTTTGGCAGAACTGGGGATTGAACAGGCCCTTGCACTTGCCAGGGAAGTGCTTATTCCACTGAGCCATCTCCCCAACCCCCAAGATCTTGTCTTATCTTATTCTATTTAAATTTGGTACAATGATGCAAGATCTCATTATTTTTTTCTTTTCTTGAGACAGGGTCTTGCTATGCATTTCAGGGTGCTCTTCATTAACATTCTTTTGGTATTGGAAATTGAGCTCAAGACCTTGTGCTCCTTTTTTTGTTTGTTTTTTTGTTTTTGTGTTGTGTTTTTGCGAAACCAGGGACTGAACTCAGGCCCTGTGCTTGCCAGGCAAGCACTTACTCTATTGAGCCATCTCCCCTGCCCCAAGACCTTGGACTTGTCAGGCAGATGCTTGTGCTGGTGACCTATATCCCCAGCCCTCATGAACATTTTTTGATTGGTTAGACAATAAAGAACTTTGAAGCCTGACATGACAGCCATGCTTGTAATTTCAGCATTCTGAAAGCTGAGGCAGAAGGATTGTTGCAAGTTCAAGGCCAGCCTGAACTATACAGCAAGACCCAGTCTCAAAAAACAAAACTAAAGAACAAAAATAGTGCCAGGGATATAACACAGCAGCCCAATGCCTGCTTGAAAAGTACAAGGTCCTGAGTTTGATTCCTGTACCAAACAAACAAACAAACAAAAAAAACAAGTACAGAGGGTTGGGGATCTAGCTTAATGCTGTAGCCCCTGCCTGGCAGGTGTGAGATCATGAGTTCAATTCCCAGTAGCCACCCCTCCCCCAAAAAGAAAAAACCTAAAAACAAACAACAAACAAAAAACTTGCTTTGGAAAGAAAGGAGAAAAGAAAAAAATCTGGAAAGGATTTCCCTAGTTAGATCTGTGCTGCAGAATGCTCACTGGGGTATCTTGTCTGGATGTTAACTTGCTCTCTTTGAAACAAGTAGAAAGGGGGATAGAGATGGCTCAGTGGTCTAAAGCACCTACTTAGAACAAGCTTGGCGAAGCACAGGGACCCAGGTTCAATCCCCCAGCACCACATGCCAGCCAGCCCCACCCCCAGGTGGGCTGAGCTGGCCACACACACACAATAAATAAATAAAAAGAAACAAGTAGAAAGGACAGCTGCATAGCAGAATGTCTAGAAACTTAAAAAGATTTTACTAAATCTCTTCCCAGAAATATCAATGAAAGGCAAATTTTCTTGTATTCTTTCGGTTTTGACCTTGCCAGCCAGCCAACTTATCTTAGTATCTGTCTCTCCACCATTATTTCCTCTTCAATAAAGATCAAGCCCAAAGAAACCCGAGAAGCCCTAGTCCAGTCCCTTCTCCACAGTCACTAGGGACCCTCTCCTCCTCCCCAGCGAGCCTTCAGGGACAAGTCTTTCTCTTAGGGTCACAAAGCACCAAGGCGGCTGGCTAAGAGCCAGAGTAAAGAACTCTGGGCAGCTGGAGTTCGGATAAGTCGGGTTCAAAGTCTATCCTACACAGGTCAACTCCCCTGACCCCAGGGGGAGGCCTTCTCTCCAGCGGAGCCAGATTTTATGCCAGACATTTGGTGTGTCAAAGTACCCGCCTCTGGGTTTGGACTCAGGTCTTCCAGACCCAGTTTTAGCTCCGCCCTGAGAGATCCTTGTTCCTTGAGCGTTCCACCCCATCCTTCTCCCAAACTTGAGACCCCGGACCTATCTACCTCACTAAAGTCTCAGCGAAGGACTGAATCAGGCTTTTGAGGACAGTTAGGGAAAAGGAAAAAAAAGGTTAGCAGTAAACTAAAAGACTCCAGGAGCCAGCGCTCCATAACAGAGCACGTGCTTAGGGCACACAAGGCCCTGCGTTCCATCCCCAGTATCAGAAGAAAAAGAAAACCTAAAATCTAACAGATTTCAGAAACAGAGCCTTTGCCCAATCCACCTTCCCAGGCGGGTCACTGGGTGCCCTAAAGCACAGCTAGCACCAGTTCCCAGGGGGCTGAAGGTCCAGCCTGGCCTAGGAGCGCCACCTGGTGGCCAGTCTCACAACCTGGCAGCTCAGGCCCAGTGGCCTTTTCTAACCAGAAACTAGATTAGGGCGGGAGCGCTGTCCCTTCGCCAGTGCGTCACTCCGAGGACCCGCCCTTCCGGGAGCGCTCCTCCTCCGCCGGGACGGACCACAGCACCCTCACCGCAAAAACGCTGCCCTTCCGTCCTTGGCCGCCACACGGTGCTCCTCCCGGTAGACAGACTAAAGGCCCCGGGGATCCTAGGGCCCTGACCCCTCCCGGAGAGGATACGGCCGCCCTGCTCCTCTGCCCTAAACCCACCTAGCCGGGAGGCTGTGCTGGTCCCCGGAAACCAGACCTGGTTTATTAATGAGGCTTCACAGCACGTCCGAGGCCCCGCCCACCAGGGGTCCCGCCTACGCATCCTCAGGCTCCACCCCGTGCGCCCCGAGGCGGCTCGTCGTGACGTCACTTCCGTCCGGGCCGGCAGAGGTTGGAGCTCCGCGGGCCGAGGGTGGGGGTACGGAGGTGGCAGCTGAGACTGGAGGCCGCCTAGAGCTCGAGCCCCGACGATCTCCGCGCCCCGGGCAGTGACTGACCCTGCAGCGCACCGAGACGCGGGACCAGCCGGATGGGCCGCTGAGCCCGAGGCGGGGAGCGGTGAGGCGGCGGCGGGCTGTGGGTGCAGGGCCGGGCGCCGGGGTGAGGAGGGAGCTCGGGCCTCGCTCGCCCGCCCGCCCGCCCGCGGTGCAGGGGCGGCTGACGGGTCCATGGTGGGCCGGCGCCCCGGGTTCTCAGAAACTGCAGCGTCGGAGAAGAGCCAGGCTGCGCTCCGGGCCCTGGGTTACGGGAGGATGGCTCCGAGTGGGGGAGGCCAGACACCAAGAGGCTGGGAGGTTTTCCTAGCTCTAATTGAGATGAGTTTGGAGCGCTTTTCGCTCCCCAGGGTTTGTGTGGGACCCCTGGAGAAGGCGCTCACTAGAGTACGGAGCGCAGTTACAGTATTTGGAAGGAGCAGTGCCCTGAAGAGTCGCTGCACTGAGCGGGCGGGTGCGCAAAACCCTGACCGCCCCCGAGTAACTGAACTGCCACATCTTTCTTTCCAGTGTGGAGCCCCCTGGAGCTGAGATCAGGATGTTCCGCTTCATGAGGGACGTGGAGCCTGAGGATCCCATGTTCCTGATGTGAGAATTCCCTCCCCCTCACATCCCACTCCACTTCAGTTCATACATGTGGGCTTCCGTGACTGGAACTGGTTGGATTCTCCACTCAGTTCCAACTTGAAGGGAAGTCATATCTGTGACAGTGTGCGCCTTGACCGCTGTTTCAGGCGTGGGGAGAGGTGAGCCCCTCCACCACTTACCCTGTCTGCTCACTCCACAGGGACCCCTTTGCCATTCACCGTCAGCACATGAGCCGCATGCTGTCCGGTGGCTTTGGATATAGCCCCTTCCTCAGCATCACAGATGGCAGCATGCCAGGAACCAGGCCTGCCAGCCGTAGGATGCAGGTATCTGTGAGGAAACCTCCCTGAGAACCAGAGAAAGGGTATCCGGTGATTAGCAAGACAATATTTTTTTCTTGCACTGCAAGCAACTTAGACAGTGAAACATTTTTGCTGGAGTGGAGGCAGGGAGTAAGAAAAGAGCTTTGTGCCCCTGTTTGAGAGGAAGGGAAAAAGAAAAAAAAAAAAAAAAAAAAATAGAGGCCATGGGCCTGGTTTGGAATTGTAAGGAAGCAGAATGTAGGCGCCAGTTAATCTCTGTTCTGTGTATTCCTGCAGGCTGGGGCTGTCTCCCCCTTTGGGATGCTGGGAATGGTGAGTCTTTGCCTTTTACTTTAGAAACATTGTAAAACCTTAGATGTAGTTTCCAAATGTATACCTTGGAAGACCCTACTGATGTCCACAGATATTCTATTCCCATACTGTTGGTAAAACTGGGAGCTAGTCAGGCCCTGGGAGTCCTGCTAGCATCCAGGTTGCTGACTTCTATGCCCCTTCCAGCCAGAAAATGTAATTGTGTAGCAGAGTGAGCTTTCTGCAGGAGGGAGGTGCAGGGGAAGGGCAGTTAGTATCCATTAACTTTGGCTCCCTCCCTAAAGATCATTGGAGATAGGGCAGTTGGGAAAGTGAAAGTTGGATGAGAACAGCTGCGGAGGAGGAGGAGGAGGAGGCCACCTGCAGTGCCCAGAGAGAAGCCCCAGTGTTAAGGAGAAGGCAGGAACAGTTGCTACAGTACACAGGAAGGGGAGGGAGTCCTGTGGCCAGGTGGCCTGCCGATTTAAATAGCATTAACTGAGCACTGACTTTACTTTCCTGTCTTCCATGTCTTTTTTCCAGTCAGGTGGCTTCATGGACATGTTCGGGATGATGAATGACATGATCGGGAACATGGTGAGACTTAGGTCTTTCTATCCCAGGCCCTTTCTTTTTAATGCTGGCTGGCAGCACCTGCCCTCTAAGACAGGAGGCTCTCGGGGAAAGTGGCAGCAAAGGGGTCAAGATGAAGGAAGGAACTGGATCGGAGCCTGGACCCTGTGTCCGCCCTCTGCCCAAGGATGAAGAGGCAGCTGTATTCATAGAAAATTGAGAGTCTGTGTCTAAAGTTCTGAGTTAGTACTAAACCTGGGATTTGGGAAGTAGCAGTGTTTCCCTTTTCACATTTGGTAAGAAAGACACAGGCAGCTGACTGGGTGCATTGGTGGGTACCTGTAATAGCTGCTACTTGGGAGGCTGAGTCAGAAGATTGTGAGCAAGTTCAGCATGGGCAACTTAGATCATGTCTCAAAAAGGACTGCAAATGGAGATGAAGAATAATTAGTGGTACTAGGCTTAATTTTTTTTTTTTTTTTTTTTTTTTTCTTTCTTTCTTTCTTTCTTTCTTTCTTTCTTTCTTTCTTTCTTTCTTTCTTTTTTTTTTTTTTTTTTGTGGAACTGGGGATTGAACTCAGG